GCTTTTTTGGGTTAAATTTGTAAGTCCTGGCTGCGAGGGTGTCGCGTTGTGTATTCAGGAGTGCGGGCCGTGCGTATTTGTGTATTCGGGAATGGGAGCCTGGAAGTGCGTAAAACACGAAAAAGTGCACTCTCACAGTGTCCCGTTTTGTAGATTTATTCACCGATCTTTACTTCACGACACCACCGAGTCACTCCTTTCCTGCACTGTGGCCGTCCTGTCCTCCCGTCCTCCACGCCAGCAGGCACTCCTCAAGACCAGGCCGAGAGCAGAGCAACATACTGCAAGTTCTACTCGCCAATTCGGCTCGCCTTACTCGTTGCTTGGGCTGCCGCCCGCACGAAAAGCATGTTTACCTCTCGTTTGGCCTCGGACATCCCCTAAAATTCCACCAACCTCTTCACTATGATTAAAACTCCATGGTTCGATGATCCAGAGACAGCTGTTGCCGTCTCTTGTGCCTCAGGGGTTCCAGGTCTCCCCTGCTTTCTGGCGTGACTTGATGACCCCTGCTTTGACTAAGTTTTGCGGAGCCGATTTCGAGCTCGTTCCGGAAGAGGGTTCCTGTGTCTACGTGAAGAAGGAGATCGGTGAAGGGGTGCCGTGTGACGGCAAGATCTTGGAGGCGACCCAGTGAGCTGCCCTGAAGCTGCCTAGTTGTAATCGCTGTTGGCACGTGGTATGCCAGGGCAGCAAGTGCAACATCCAGAAGTGCCCCATCGACTGCAAGTACAAAGCCTCCCTGCTGCAGTGATACTGGCTTTTCATCTCTTCTGCCGCTTCTTGTTCCGACTGGTGTCCTTCGTTCAGGACTGGTCTGACTGGGGATCTTGCAATCCGCTCTGTGAGGGAACCCGAAACAGGCGCGGCATCGGTAGATCCCTGGAGTTGCTTTGGAGCAGCACCAGATGTGCATGGCGCAGGTCTCGAGAGGTGAAGAAGCCGGCTTCCCAAGAGTGTGTGTGTGTGCAAACCCTGTATCCAGGCGTCTTCACTTGACAGTCCTTTGTGTGATTTCGATAGCAGGAGACCTGACAGTCCTTATCAGTCCTTCTTTTTGATTTCGATAGCAGTGGCACCAGAGATGTGTGGCTCGGCCTGGTGCTACGAAGCTCCAGTCACACATCAGGATATGGTCCCCGGACGCCTTGACCACGTACCTGCACAATGCTTGTGACGTAGTCTATAAGAGTCGCTGTACACTGGTTATCCTGGATATTCCACTCGAAGGTCTGGCCTTTTCACTGGATATAGCATAGGGCTGAGCCAATATTCCGTTGTTCATCAGGTCTGGTCTTCGCCTAAACCAAACCAATTCTAACTTTCCGTCGTGTGTGTGTGTGTGTGAGATTGTGTGCGTGTGTGTGTGTGTGTGTGTTTGTGCGCGTGAGCTTGCATGAAGTTTAGCTGCAGTCAATGAAGGCTCGAGCGTGATGCGTGGAGAGTGCAAGGTATGCTGCTTTTGGGGGCCAACCCTGTGACAACAAGACTCAATCTGAGGTGGGACCTTTTTGTCGTGTAGAGGTTGACTAGTCGCCGCAGTCGCCCATGAACGCCAGTACAAGTGGTGTCGCCAGCTGCTCGCATATGTGTCGGTATCGTCGCTGCCAGGAGTGCACCAACGTCTGCGTGGATTGCGAATGGTCTGATTGGACGGCATGGACGAACTGCTCTGCAACTTGCGGCGGCGGCATGCAGGTGCATCGATGCAGACGGTTGCGAATCTACCATGCTCCTGTGGTCTTGACTCTGCAAGGAACGAGGCAGGGGAATCGCCGTGGATGTTGAAGGCTATGGGAAAAACTGCACTGGGGACGCGGAGGAGAAGCAAAAATGCAACACACAGGACATGGGACCCCCTTGGGTTCGGCCGGCCGAAGATCATGACAAGATGAGGGTAGTAGGCACAGCTCTGCGACAGCTGCCCGTTGATTTGAGTACTGAGCATTGCCTATGTTTCGATACTGGTTTTAAGGACGGGCCCTGTCGCAGTGGCTCGTGGATGATCTGATTCGGAAGTTTCGAGCTCTTGGGGGCTGTGAGGACTGTCCGGTCGACTGCGAGACGAGTGCTCCCTGGCAGATTCATATCGGGGAGGCCATCTCCATTTCATCCCAAAGCCGGACAAAGCCGGCCTAAGCCTGCATCATCTCAGAGACCAAGAGCAACTTCTGCGGTCTGACGGGCACGTGGCATGTAGATTTAGATTCTGTTTGGCCGGGTGGAACCTGGCAGTCGAGTCGATCGAGTCTTGACTAGACACACGTCCCGACCTTCCCCCCCCGCGGTGAATGTGGGGTTGTCCAACAAGGACTGGAGTAGCTGGAGCTCCTGCGAGCCCTTCTGCAAGGGCATGCAGAACCAGACACGAACCATCACACTGGAGGCTTCCAGGGCTTCGGCTTTTGCAGCATTTCGACTGTGCCTGGAATTCGGGTCGTTGCGACAAGAAGCTTGAGGACCCATCGATCATTAACCTTGTCCCGTGCCGCTCGCCCCCCACACAGGATTCAATCCCAGCAGTTGCCGCCAATCTCTGGTTTAAGGGTATGAGTCGGTATGAGGCTTTGCAGGCGATCACACTTGTTTGGTGTTTGATGGGTGCTGTCCATTACTCACTTTTGGTTTAACGGCCGAGTGCTTGCAGTCGTATAGCTTAGACCGACGGCTTCTGTCGGGTTGGCTATCCGTCGACAGTGTCCTGTATTGGCTAAGGTTTATAAACCTTTGCTTTGGCAGCAGCAACAATTTTAGGGTTTGGGGCGTTCCGAACATCTTTTGGAATTGCACCCTCAGCAAGCATCACTTGTTTGATCGGTTTGTGCCGTTGACCAGGGACCTTGCCACGATTTTCAACCACTCACCTTTTGTGGTTTGTTGACACGGTTCCGCGGACCTGCAAGTGTTTGCGAACTGCTTTTTTTGGGGGTTCTTGGTTTGGTGACGGTCACGATTGGAGGGTTCAACTTGCGAGCAGTCGCGACCTGTTACATCGCACGCAAGATTTGCTACCCATCACGGGTCAGAGGTTCGGGCCATGTGGTCGAGAGCTGGGGCTTGGGGATATCCAGACTTCCGGCATTTTCTTCGGGTTTTTGACTGCTGTTTCTAGGTGTCATGATTGCGCAATATCGTGCCTTTCAGTGAGTCACAGATACAACTCTGCCATACTCTCCCGCGGTTGTCTTCAGGTGCGGTTGTGTCAGTTTACCTTCCATCATACTGTGTCCTGTGGTGATCCGCAGTGTTACATCATCTTCTGGCTATCTTCTTCGTGTTCCGTTTTAGTTGACTGGTCACTGCAGAGTGAAATCGAAGTCGAAAGTGGAAGTAGTTCCGTCAGGGGAGGCAGTTTTTGATACCAGGAGTCACCAACCTCGAGAGCACATGAGCAACTATTCAGACCAGGGCCGTCGGGTGTTCGGATTGCAGCCTGGTCTTGCTAGGTTTACAGCCCTTGGTTGCGGTTTTTGTTTGTCTCTTGCGGTGTTGAGGTTCAGCTTTGTGGCTCGGGGGTACCAGAAGATCCTCCTCAGTGCACACACGGGGCTGTGCATGTCGAGTTTGCATGTTCACTAAAGATAAGTACAAGCCAAGTGAAAGGTACGCAAGACATATCTCGCCCGGTACCAGAGCTGAAAAAACCATCAAACAGGCGGCCAATGGCGGCATGCCATGCGGTCCCCTCTTCCACTCCCGTGCGTGCAACAACACATGCCTGGACTGCGTGTGGGCAAATTGGACAGACGCTAGGAAGCAAGTTTACTCCGAACCCTTTCCTAGTTGCCATCGGAGATATCAGCTTTTCAGGAGTGGGGTCAGTGCTCCGCTTCCTGTGGCGGTGGAGTCCAGTCCCGCTTCTCGGCCGATTTTTGTCATTCGGTTTCAGTTATTCGCTCGGAGCTGCTGGGTGTGTCAGGAGGACTCCAGTCGAGGTTAGGGTTCCTTGGCAACGGATGTTGGGGAAGCCAGGCACCTGTTCAGGACAGCGATGTGCTCGTGTGCAGTGACCCCAAGCCGTTAACTTGTTGCTCGGGCTTGGGCAAGAAGATTTCGGAAGAGCTGTGACACTAGTCGGTGCAATCACGTGCACTGCTGTGCGCGACCTGATGATGCACAACTGTATCACAGCAAGCAAATGAAGTCGAGCACGGACACGATTCGCTGTTCATTCTTCAGAGCTTCGTCATCCCTGATTCGGTGTATTTGATGTTGAACAAATTGTGTAGGTTGGTTGGCAACTGTAAGCTTCGCAGCGACACTGATTGCACAGCCAACGTGCCGCTGCGCCCCAATCAGCCAGTCGTTTGGGCCGTGGACTCTGGGACTCGGTTTCGATGTCAACGTGTTTTTTGCGGTGGACGTAGACGGTCCCATGTTCTGTAGCGGCCATGGGGTGATGCTTGTTGCTGGGCGCTGTGTGGTTCGTTCACCCTTCATCGGTGTTGGAACCAGTATGTCAGATGTCAGTATGCTTGCTTGGAGCATGAGGCAGCCGCTACATTTCGCGCCCAAAGGTGGGCGAGGCGGAGGATTGCGAAGGACAGGCGCCAACTTAAGCGAAGGGCCGTGCTTCAAGTTCCTTCCCCTGGACCCTTTGCCTCCGAAATTGCTAGGAGTCTAAATGGCAGTCCTACAGAGTGTTGGGGGTTGCTCCCGCGATGCCCAAGAGGCACAAACATGCAAGAATCCTCGGAGCTGTCATGCTGTTGCCAGTCTGCCATGTAGCTGCACCATGGGAGTGCGCTTTCAGCAGCTCGAGGACCCTTGAACGAGACCCAAGCCTGCAACGAGCAGAGCTGTCCGATTGATTGTGTCCTTGCCGACTGGAGCGGATGGTCGGACTGCGATCCCTACTGCCGCTCTGCCGCAGAGTACGGGTTCCAAGAGCAGATGCCGTCTCGGTGATCTTGCCCATGCGCTGCCACTATGAGGCATCGGGACCCAGAGCAGGAATCGCATCGTGGTCACTGCCCCCGAGTTTGGAGGGGTTCCATGTGGGAACCTCTCTGAGACGCAGCGTGGCTGGGTCTGCATTGGATCATTTCAGGCAGCACTGAAAGTATCGGCAGGCGTATGACTAGCGACTTGCCGGCTTGAGTACCGAGATCTTGAAGGTTTGAGAAGGGTGCACAGCCACTTGCTGGGACATTCCTCAACAAACTGCCCGAAACTGGGAGCCAAACGAACTCCAAGACTCAATGGGTCGAAGCCCGGATGATCTCTAAATCAGTCCTAAATCTCAAACTGTGTCAACTAGCTTCTTGCACTGAAGCCTCAATTGAAGCCTGGCTTTCAGGGTTCCCGTGTGGCTTAGAGTTAAATCTAGTTTCGTCTTGGGCACTGGAGCAACTGTTGCACAGGCTAGAGGTTGCGGGCTTTGCTCTAAGAACGCTCCTTCCTGGAGTGTTCAGTGATTGCGTGTCTAGCCATGCTAGCAACCTTCGTCAAAAATTAGTAAACGTGGTGACGGTTTGAGCTCCATCCTCAAAGCTTGGGGGTACTTGGACTCGAATTCCACATGTCAACGGCTACCAAGCGGCTTCGCTTAGCCACACTGTCTGCATCGTATGGTCTTGAATGCAACAATCCCATATGACACAGCTACTTGTTTCTACCCAGCTTCAGTCTTTGTCTGCCAGTCGTTGGCGTCGCTTCAATGCCATGACTCACAGTTTCTGTTCTTACATGAAGCACGACCTGCCAGCCTCTTGGCGGCTGAGCCCAGAAGTGCTCGGAATAATGGACCTGCACGCGTTTTCCCGGAAGCGTGGCGAAGGATTTTCTGTGGAGGTGGTTCGGATAGCAAGAGGTGATGACGTTGTTTGGATGGCATGATGTGATGCTGTTGACGTGAGGTGGTCTCTTAGGTTGTCGGGATGCTGCATAGCATTGATAATACCTTTTGGCGCCCGGGGCAGGGCTAGCGGGAGGCGCCGTGCATCGTGAAATGGCCCTGTTCTCGTGTAGTGGTTTGTCCACGGAATTGCCGGCAGTCTCCTGATGCCGGCCTGTTCGGTCACTCGAAATGGCTCTGCGTGCAGCTGCATGTGTGCTTCCGTGAAGTTTCGTGCTCCGAATTGACAACCCTCCCGGTGCTATCGTGTGTCCGCATCCTCCGGTCAGCCCGATCCACTGCAAACTCCAATAAGGTGGTCTCGCGTTGGTCCCGAATTGACAACCCTTTAGGTAGGCGCTACTTGTCCGTGTTCTCCGGAAAGTGCGACCCATTGTAAACGTCGGTACACTGGCATCACATAGGTCTCGAAATGACAACCGTCTGGGTGAACCCGGCATGTCCAGACGCTGCACGTGTGGTGCCGTGTCGACTTTGGCCATTTTGGCTGTGCTCCTGAATCCCTCCAACATGGGGTCTAGTCGTGCCAAAAATCACGCTGCATGCGTGGTGCCGCGACGATTCGCGCAGCAACCCTTTCAGTGTTGCTGGCGTGTCCGTGACTCAAGGTAACCGCGACTCATTGTCGATTGCAATACATTGGTGTTTCATGTTGATCTCAAAATGAGAATCATCTCGATGTTGCGTTCATGTCTGGGCTTGCTGTGTTGGTTCATGTTGGCGTCCCGCCAATCGGCAATGAATCTCCGTCAGTACATTCGGGGAAGCATCTCGTCGTGCTTCTGAATTGCGTTTGAATGCCGCCTGTGGAAACATTTCGGCCGTGGTCCTGCATTGGGGAGGTCTATGTTTGGGCGTATGGAACGCTTTATGGAAGGGTTGTAGAAGCGCTCAAAAGGTAGGGTTTCTATAGTTGAGTTGAACTCTTAGCTGGCACAAACTTCCACCATTGTACTTTACTTGGATCCATACAACAGCTCCGGTTACGAAGCCTTAGGGCAGAGAAATGTTGAACAACTGAAGTCATGCAGCTACACCCTGGCGTTAGGTTGCACCAACTTCTGCATGGACTGCCAGCTGTCTGACTGGACTGAATGGGCTAGCTGCAGCAAGACCTGCGCTGGCGGAAGCCAGCACCGCTTGCGGGATGAAGTGTGGCTTGGTCTGATGACTTCTGGCATTCCAACTATCTCTTGCGGCTGCCTGCCAGACATAGTCACTGCATACTGCCCCCGCATGCACTTGGTGAGTGTCGGCCACCAGGTATGTGCAACGAATGGCCAGCAGCTTTTCAGCAAAGAGTTTGAGTGGAGAAGTCTTTCAGGGCGTCTGCACTTGCTGTAAGGGACAGCGTTCTGCTTCTCTGCCAATAAGTAGAGCAGGTTCCAGTCTCCTTGTGTTTGGTTCGTGGGAGACGCATCTCGCTTCTGGCAAGCAGTTCGAGCGCCCATGCGTAGGAGGATTACAACGACAAATCAAATCGCAGTGACTGCATGGGGATCTCCGAGCCCAGACTCTGCGATTGAGGCCTCATCGAGCTGCAAGCAGGCTCCGCCTCTTCCACAGGCCGACATGCTTCTGGTCGTAGCAGCATGGATGGGGGTGATCTCACCCACAACTCAAAGTGCTGCATTCTGTCAGGAGCCTGGGGCTACCAAAAGAAGATGGGCGTTAGGCGCCGTCGCTTTTTCTGTGGTGATACAGTGTGAAGATCCACTGCCGACCTCAGTGACCACATCGACACGCTGAGGTCTGTAATATCCAGTCAAACCCCACGTGTACTTTCCCAGATGGGCTCAGAGAGCGAGTGTGAGCAGGTGCGACCCAAAGCATCAGCGAAGTGCGAATACGGCGGGACTCCTCAGGACATCTGAAGTGAAATAGTTCAGTGTGCGGCTTGCTGTTTGGCTTTTGTGCTTCTGCAATTGCAGGAGGCAGAAGCCTTGTGCAGCGCTGATCCCACTTGCGGAGGCCTTGAGCGCTCGCTCGCTAGTTTCCTTCGCCCACTTCTGCCGCGTGCAGGTTTGTATGACCAGGGCTGTGACAACTGGGTGACACTCTGCGATGCAGACTTCACTCTTGAAAGTGAGGAAGGTTCATGCTCCTACCTCAAGAAGGACCAGGGATTTTGCACTCCCGCCTTGACGCATCTATGTCCTGCTGATTCATGTTGCGGAGTTGCTTCATTTAGCCTTTCTCTTCGGGATGTTCTTTGCAATGTAGCAGGAGATCGGTCAAGGCGTGCCATGCCAAGGGAACATCAGCGAGACTGCGACTTGCAACGAGCAAATGTGTCCGGTGGATTGTGTAATGACAGAGTGGACTGAAGCTTGGCTGATTTTGGTTTTCGTGGTGCTATTACGACACCGCGACACCGCTTGTCAGTGTGTGTAGAGAAGCAGGGGGAGAACCAGATCGCTTCTTCTGCGCTCTCAGCCGATGCTTTTGTCTGCTCTCGTCGGCCTTTCTGTCGTCCCGCCCAAATAGCCGGCAGTCTTCTCTGCTCCATCCGACGCTTGCTGTACTGATTCTGGTCAGCAAAAGTCAGAACAGGTGCCCCATGCTCTCGAGGGCTTCATCTGACTTGACGGTAATCTTGACGGGGGGAAACGGGCACAGGGTCACAAAATTCCTGTGCAAGCAGACTCGACAAGCTTCTGAAATCCTTGGAAGCTGCCGTATCCGCTGTGGAGCCAGTCGTCGACAGTGTCGTATTCCGCGGAGCGCTGCTGCCACATTGACAGCCTGGCGGAGACCAAGTGCTTCGGCACTCCGAAAGCAGCAAAATACACAGGTGAGTCAATTTCGGATCAAACTTGTCATGCTGCCCCTCCACTGTTCGCATTTCATATATTGATACCCTTGTGCAAAGTGGTGATGCACATGCCGGCACACTGTCACTGGAGACATTCGTTACTCGTGGTGACGATTTTGGAGCATTCCCAGGACTGGTCACCGTGTGATCCCTTTTGCAACGGGACGCAAAAGCGCGAGAGGAACATCACCACGCATGCAGCCTATGGCGGTGTTCCCTGCGGTCCAAGTCTGGAGGACGGCTTGCAGCTTATGTACAGTCACAGTCACAGCCACAGTCACAGTCAGTCAGTCTCTGTGTGTATGTGTGTGTGTGTGTGCGTGCATGCGTGTGTGCGTGTATGGATGTGCAGCTTTGCGTTTCGAGGACCAGAGGTGCAGCAACTTCTGTGTCGACTGTGCCTGGTCGGACTGGGGCGCTTGGCCGCCGTGCACGGTCTCATGCGGAGGTGGCACAGCCCGCTCCTCAGAGTGCTTTGCACGCCGCTGCTGAGACTAGGGTCTTCGAGACTTCCAGCTCGCAGGCGCAACGAAGCCGTGCCATCGAGACGCCGAAACAAGGAGGTGGCCAAGAGTGCACTGGAAGCGACCAGGAGACGAAGACCTGCAACGAGCAGGACGGGGATCGACAAAGACAAGGTCACAGCTGGAGCTCTGTTGTCTTTGATGCAGGAGTGCCCTGTGGACTGCGAGCTCGGAAGTTGGACCGCTTGGAACGGCTGTGAGCCTTACTGCGAAGGAGCGGCTTCGCAAACGGTGTGCAATGCCGGAGTCATAGCACGTCTGTCATCTGATCCGAATCTGCCGTAGCAGGTTCGCAGACGCGCCAGCGGAATGTCACACGAAAGGCCGCCTTCGGAGGCAAATCCTGCAATGCCTTGGCGGCTGAAGAGCCCGACTTCGCGGGCGGTGTGACGAAGCAAATCCGACAGTGCTCAAATCCATGCGGCCCACAGGATTGCCTTTGGTCTAATTGGGCTGACACTTGGAAGATTTGGAAGGTATTGACGTGGAAGTTAAGGCTTAACAGCTTCTATGGCTGAGTTGCTGATGGAAGCTGCGATTGTCATGCTTTGGCATCTGAGGACTGGGGTGAGTGCTCTGCTTCTTGCGGCGGTGGGATCCAGTCCCGCCTCTCCTCCGAAATGAGTTAAGATCTGTCTGTGTCATCTCGGGTGGATCTGGTGTTGGCTCGGCAAGGGCTGAGAGCCTTACCTCAGAATTTCCGTTGGATGATGTAGAAGTCCCTCAAGACGTTTACTGCATTGAAATATCTCTCAATGGACATGCCTTGTGTTTCCAAGTCGTTTATCATTGCTTCCAAGTCGTTTATTGAGTCTGTTTTCGAAGCCTCCGTTTTGGCAAATCTGGATGAGTCGTCCAGATATGAAGGGAGGCATTCGGTGACATAGGCACTTCGATGAAGGTCAGTGTCTGGAGCTGACAGTTTCAACATCCTCAGATAAATCATGTGAACCAAATCATCAGAAACAAAACATAACTAGCTGTGCAGCCACAGGTTGGAAGGGCTGAGTTTAATTTAGTGACGTGAGATGATGTGAGCAATCGAAATTTGTGAGTGTTCTCGTGCATAGACCCTTTGCAGCACGACGATCCTGGTCATCCTTGCGCCATGTTGGACTCTAGGCGACCGTCACATTGCGCGCCCAAAGAGGGGCGAGGCTGAAGATTGCACAGGACAGGGTCGACAATTTGATTCAAATTTTCGGCCTATCCGGAACAGGGTTCAGCGAAGGTCTTTTCTCTGTTGCTCTCTGCGTCAAGTTTTGGCTGAGAGTTCATGATCTACTTTTGACGTCGAGGACCCTTTAACGAGACACAGGCTTGCAACGAGAAGAGCTGCCCCATCGATTGTGTCCTTGCCGACTGGAGCGGATGGTCGGACTGCGATCCCTATTGACGCTCGCCCGCAGAGCAGGGTCCTGGTGTTCTGCATTCCAACTGACGTGAACGTATACTGCCCATTCTCCTCTATGAACCTCGAGATAAAGTCGCGCAAGTGATTGAGCCTCTTTCCCAACGCTGCGAGACATGTCTTGTCCCAAGGTGTTGGGAGTCAAAACCGGAATCGGATTGTTGTCACGGCGCCAGAGTTCGGTGGGATGCCATGTGGGTCAGTGTCTGAGACGCAGCGTGGCCGGGCCTGCATTTCACTCTCTTGAGGGCGGATTGCTGGGCAAGTTTATGGGCAGTTGTCCGGGCTTGGTCCGACAGTCCCTGCAGAGCAGCTACATGTAGGATTGCCGTAGCTCTGGAGCACGTCGGCGGAGGGCATTCCAGACCAGTTGGAAACGGCTTGAGCGTGCACACACACCTATGTCATCAGGTTGCACCAATTTTTGCATGGACTGCCAGCTGTCCGACTGGAATGACTGGGCTAGCTGCAGCAAGACCTGTGCTGGTGGAAGCCAGCACCGCCTGCGGGATGAAGTGTGGCTCGGCATTCAATCCATGATTCCTGGAGCTGTTTGTGCTGTTTGTACAGAGGCATCGTTACTGCAAGAGTCCAATCCATGTTGGAGTGTCAGCTACAAGGTATGTACAACGTTCAGCCAGCAGCTCCTTGGTAAGACATTGGACGTCGTGTCTGACCAGCACCCGATGCAACGGGTTCTGGTCAGCAAAGAAGTAGAGCAGGTTCCAGGGTGCACAGCATTTCGGGGCTCTTCTTGTGTTTGGTTCGTGGGAGACGCATCTCGCTTCTGGCAAGCAGTTCGAGCGCCCATGCGTAGGAGGATTACAATGACAAATCAAATCGCAGTGACTGCATGGGGATCTCCGAGCCCAGACTCTGCGATTGAGGCCTCATCGAGCTGCAAGCAGGCTCCGCCTCTTCCACAGGCCGACATGCTTCTGGTCGTAGCAGCATGGATGGGGGTGATCTCACCCACAACTCAAAGTGCTGCATTCTGTCAGGAGCCTGGGGCTACCAAAAGAAGATGGGCGTTAGGCGCCGTCGCTTTTTCTGTGGTGATACAGTGTGAAGATCTACTTGCCCACCTCAATTCCAAACCGACACCCTGAGCAAACGCCACGTGCGCTTTCCCAGCTGGGCTCAGAGGGCGAGTGTGAGCAGGTGCGACCCAAAGCATCAGCGAGCCGGTGCCGCGACACCTCAGGAAGCGGGTGAGGGGATGAGTGTGTGTTGTTTCCTGGCTGTCGTGCTGTCGCGATTGCAGGAGGCAGAAGCCTTGTGCAGCGCTGATCCCACCTGTGGAGGCGTCGTACACAGAGCTGTGCAGCTTGTTTCCTCCGTTTCTTTTGCCTACAACTACAAGCAGCATACTTCCGGCTACCATGTGCTACTGCTCACTCGGTTGCTACCTTCGTCCCCTGCTGCCTGCAGGCATGTACGACCAGGGCTGTGACAACTGGGTGACGCTTTGCGATGCAGACTTCACTCTGGAAAGCGAGGAAGCCTCGTGCTCCTACCTCAAGAAGGACCACGGTTTCCGATCGCCAGTTCTGTGCCCTCCATGCCCCACTAGCACAGAAAGTCCTCTGCTCTGCTTTCTGCAGGAGATCGGTCAGGGCATACCATGCAAAGGGAACATAAGTGAGACGGCCACTTGCAACGCACACACTTGTCCAGTGGACTGTGTGATGACGGACTGGGCCGAAGCTCGCCTGCCATCCCTTGATGAAGCTCACTACATATCATTGTTCTTTTTCTCTTGCCTCTGTTTTCGCTGCCTTCCGAGGAATGGTCGGCGTGTGATCCATTTTGCAACGGGGTGCAAACGAGAGAGAGGAACATCACAACGCATGCAGCCTTCGGTGGTGTTCCTTGCGGTCAAAGTCTGGAGGACAGCATCGGAGCTGTTTGTGCAGTCGTTGTGTGACGTTCTTCCTCCCATTGCGAGGACCAGAGTTGCAGCAACTTCTGCGTCGACTGTACTTGGTCGGACTGGGGCGCATGGTCGACATGTACCCTGTCTTGCGGAGGTGGCACAGCCGGCTCCTTAGCGTGCTTTGCAGGCCGCTGCTGAGACTTGACTAGGGTCTTCGAGACTTCCAGCTCGCAGGCACAGCGAACCCGTGCCATCGAGACGCCGAAACAGGGAGGTGGACAGTGCACTGGAACTGGCATGGAGGACAAGACCTGCAACGATGAGGACAGAGACAAAGTGACACAGCTGGACCAAAAGCCCGGAGCTGCAACTTTCTCCGTCTTTCAGGAGTGTCCTGTGGATTGCGAGCTCTCCACCTGGACTGCTTGGACCGGCTGCGAGCCGTACTGCGAAGGCGAGGGCAGTACAAGTCACAGACCGAAGAGTGTTCGAGCCAGCTTTGCCCGGGAGGCACTCAGATGCGGTACCGAAATGTTACACAGGAAGCTTCCTTTGGAGGCAGGTCCTGCAACGCCGTCGCGGCTGAAGAGCCCGACTTCGAGGGCGGAGTCACCAAGCAGATCCGACAGTGCTCCAACGAGTGTGGCTTTGCCAGCAACATTGAAGTGCGTTCCATTTCCTCGCTTCATCTGATGGTCTCGCGCACGGAGCCTTCAGACATCATTTCCGTCAGATCAGCTCGCCAAGATTCGCGGTTCATCTGAGAGACCAACTCTGTTGACATGCCCAAGGTGTGGATTGCGAGTGGGGTGACTGGGCGCCGTGGAGCAATTGCAGTGCGTTCCAGACCAAGATTCCAGATTCTGTAAGTCTCGAAAACGCCGCGCCGGGTGGCAATGATCAAATGATCCAGGTCGTGCCAGGGTGGCACCCACACGCGAAACCGAGAGGTTGCAGTCGCCCACTCAGTTTCTAAACGAAGTTGCGATGTACTTGACAAGCCACCATGTTTGTTGTGATTGGTACTCGCTCGTTGTCGCCTTGTTCTGCATCCAGTTGCAAGAGTTCAGAGTTCAATGTCCACAGTTCAATGCACGAGGTCTCGGAGTAGGGTCCTCATGTGTGCAACACACGCAAACAGCAAGTTCTAGATATAGTCTGTCGAAGCATAAATGTCATGGCGAAGCCAGATAGAGCATGCCGGAAAATTTAGCGTCGTTGCTAGAGTTCGACGGCGTGCCTCTTTGCAACAATCTGCACGAGTGTGTTTTTCGGCGCTTTGGTCACGACCAGAGTGTTTTGTCTAGTTCTTAGTACAGAACTAGGGCTTGGACAGGTGCTGGAATGCTTAAGTCTCCCTGTTGAGATCTGGGTCTGATCTGGGCTCATTTGGGGCTGCAGGTGTCAAGAAGCAGCAAGCGGACAGAATTGCAATGTCTTGGGGAAGGCTTTATACAAAAAAGCGGTCCGCAATTTGGGGTGTTCATGACCTTCCCTGTTGGGTACCCGTCGCGGCCGCGCGCCGACCCGGAGGTTTTGGGAGCCTCCCAAACCCTTGAGCCCCAGAACGCCTAAGACTTGGGTCGCTAGGGTCCCGAGAGGTGTCGGGTCAGGTTCCCACGTGTTCTGCCGGGTGTCCTGGGCGTGGTGCGGGGCTGCAGTGTTTCGCTGATGCGCAGCTGCGGCGAAAGCTGGGGCTTGGTCCTGATTGCAACTATGGCGACGCAGAATATCAGACAACTCACTCTGCCTGTGTTTAAGCCATTGAGGCGTTCTTTGCAATCTATTTCATGTCAGAAATGAACAATGAAACTCGATTTCGGGCCCGAGGTTCGCAGCAGATTGATGTCACGGGTTTTGTTGCTCCGGAAATCACATCCAACGTAAGCCTTCTATGCGTTATTCTTATTAATGTTGTCATTCTCTATTCTGAGAATTACCGTTTCTATTATGGCAGTTTTCTTTGCAGGAAGGTGTCTTTCGGGGTTTAGTTCTGGCTGGGACCAGTTTTCATGAGTCCGCCTTGCTTGCGGCGACCGTTTCGCTTTTTCACTTCAAAACTAGGTGCCGGCAGATGGTGGCGGCAAGCAGTGCAAGGGCAATGTCACCGAGGCAGGCTGTGTTGCCAGCTTTCCCTTGGCATGTTTTTACCCTGCGATCCATTCTGCACTTCCAGCAGAGGTTGGTGTCTGCGCCGACACGTGCCACGGTTGAACTTATTCAGAACTGCTTCTGCTTGGCTAACGTCGTGAAGCCATCGGTAATGCTTTCTGTCTCTTCTGCCGGCAGCATGTACTGTCTGCAGTCATGCTTCAGTGCCAAGGCTGGAACTTCCAGTGGGTTCACGCAAGTTGAGAAGTCACTGCCCCGACCAGGATCGCATGCCCGGTTGACTGTGTGATGACGGTGTGGGGCGGATGGACGCCGTGTACGCCATACTGCAGCGGCAAGCAGCAGAGGTGTCAGTGGTCTGTCGGTGTGGTTGTCTTTGATCTTGTGAGGGCCTGAGGTGCTGACAACATCGGTGGTTTCTCATGCCTTTGAAGGTGATTCGCAAGTTTCAGCAGCTTCGCTTGGGACATTTGTGCAGCCCAGTCGAGTTTGCAGGAACCGGGTCATCCTGACCCAGCCCTTTGCCGGTGGAGCTGCCTGTGGGGAGACAGCCGAGGAGCCAGTGGGTCCCCTTAAGCAGTTTCTGTCTTGATGCAGCTCTGATTTTGCTGGGTTTACTTTCGACATTTGGCTCATGTGCCAAATGCCTAAGGAAGCAGTCAAGACCATCCGAAGCTGCAGTTTTCATCTGTCCAAGAGGTGCCTGCCGCCAGATCATATGCAGTTCCCTGGCATCAGCAGTGCCTAACTGTCAGACTCACAGTGAAAATGTCGGCAGAACTCTCGGCTCGGCATTCCTGTGGTGTTGTTGCATTCGCTGCGACTACCATTTGCTGCAGCTGCGACGACAACTATTACGACGACGATCACCACCACAACCATTAAGACGGACATGCATACCAAATACTAATGCAAGTGCTATTGCTGTGCTGTACTAAGTGGTTGCTGACGACCAGTAGCTGTGGCTTCGGGACGACGACGGCGACTGCTTCACTTCTCGAAGGCTCTCTCTGAGTTCTCTCCATCATCTCTTCAACGACTCCCGACCTGAGACGTTTCTTCTCCAGCTCGAGGTTGTGGCAGGAATGTCTCCAAGCAAGCTGTTCCTGCAAGGAGATAAGCTGCAACAACACGTGCATCAATTGCCAAGCTTCGGCCGCCACCTTACATGACGTCCGGAAAAGTGCCTGCACCCATTCTTTTGTTCTGTTACATGTCGTGATCGGATGTGGGCGCAGACGTCAAATGCTCCGACTGAGTCTTGGACAGACTGGTCCGAGTGCTCCAAGACTTGCTCTGGTGGTACACAGCACAGGCCTCCGCTCTGCCTTGTCCCGGATCGGAGCCTATTGTCTAGCGTAGCGTCCCTCTTTCAGAGCATCTGGCCCTAGTTTTTGTGAAGAACTCCCAGCCAGCGCGAATGCTGTCTCGTCCTGAGAGCAGGTCTCGCACAATTCTCAAGCAGGTGGGCTGGCACGGAGCAGATTTCTGTGGGTGGAAGAGGGGCTTGTGCACCTGGCAGTGCCCTTGCCAGGCAGAGGGCGAAGGTACCCCTTGTCCAGACCAGCTGGAGCAGACCAAGGCCCAACACTCCAGTCTGATGCAGTGCTCCGGCATGAAATCTACCTGCAGCGCCCAATGCTCTCCAGGAGGATATGTGTGCACCCCTGGACTGCCCAGTGAATTGCATTTGGGGTGTCGGGCCCTCTGACACCCTCTGCTTAACGGGGGAGTTCCCATCCTCTACCCGAGCTTAGGACTGGCTTCCCTGGAACGGCTGCAGCGTCACTTGTGGCGAGCGGATCCCGCACGTTTTGCTTTCGCTTCCGGAACCTCAGAACTCGCCCTTCTGATCGCTCTTCGTCTCAGGGGCACTCAAGACAGAACGCGCGTGGAGGCTGGGTCCGCGGAAGACTTCTGGCCGCGCTGAGAGTGTCCACTCTGGGGTTTTCCTTCAGGTCGTGTCCGCACAGTACGGAGGCCGCGGGGGGCCACGCACCACGGACCATCCTGGACAGTTGAGCTCTCGTTTGGAGTGAGTGGTATGCTTCTGCGCACCGAGTTGTTTGTCAGCCCGCAGCGGCGTGCCGTGCAGTTGTGCTATCACGGTGGGAGGTACTGCATGCGAGGGCAGCAACCGAGAGTGGCGTGCCTGTGATGTGGAGATCTGCCCCGTGGACTGACGGCGGCTTGTTTTTCGCGAGTCGGGCTTGCTGGGTGTTTTGGCGCATGAGTCAAACGCACGCCGCTGCATTCTGTCCGAGCCATCCGAACGTTACAACAGTAGCAGCTGCATTCGAGAGTTGACACTCGTCAATGTCAGCCTAAAGCCTTAAGCTCGTGCACCCTGTCTTGCCTATGGCACGGTTGCACTGCCTGCCGGGGCCCTGTCATGTCAGGGCAGACAGAACAACTTGCTAGCACTTAGCAGAAGTTAGGACCTGGCGTGCTAAGCTCAGCCATGCTCGTGCCCGGCCACCATGGGACGGTGATGCACCGAAGTGTTTCCCCAGGCGAGAGCTGAGCTGCCACTCACGGATGTGTTTATTTAAGGGGCTGCATGGGGAGAGCGTCCCATATGAAACGTCATTTAACCGTTTGACCTTTGCAGGCGCTGCTGTGGTGAGCAACGCCTTCCTCACGGCTCCATGCTATGTGGCTCCTTGGCCTCAGCTTCTTCTCTCTGCTTTTTTCAGACCTCTGTGGAGAGCAGTGCTCGGTGCTGAGGCCACTAAGGCACTTCAACCATGTCAGACGGCCTGGTCCCCACGGCAGATGGTGACCATGCCGCCAGATCCAGGCATGCGTCTGGCCGTTCCGCACGACGCAGAAGGCTTCGTAGGCACGCTGCAGGAATTTCGAACCAGCACCTCACGGAGGAGGCCATGCGAGGGGGGTTTTGCCTGGGTTGCGGGGCTCTACAGTAGCCCTGCCGCCAGGACATCTACAGTGCCGGTGCCGAGGCAAGGCATCGTGCAGACCTGCTGGCGGCGGGGGTAGGGCCGAAGAGAAGGGAGCAAACAGGGAGCCGAGAGCCGAGAGCGGAAAGCGGCGAGGTCAGAAGGCGTTCATAGCTTAGCCGGCGGGAGAAAATTGCTAGAATCCTCCCGGCTTCTCTGCGTAGGCTCCGTTCAAAGGGATGGGGCGCTTGCAAATCCTGTTTGTGGTGGATCCCCGGCCTCCACATGCCAAGAAGAATTGATTGAATGCTATTGAAGAATCTGTTGGCTTTGGCTGCCACGCTGGCAAGGTGGAGTTTGGCAACTTCCGCTTCCGCTGCGCTGACGTCCTTGGTCGGGGCTCCTATGGCGAGGTCTGGCGAGCACAGGCCAGGCCCCGCGGCAGCGCCGCGCCGCCCCCACGCCGCCCCCACGCCGCCCCCGCGCCCCAAGCCGCCCCTTGCGCCGCCGCGTGGACGTCCGCCCAGGTTCTCAGCGCCAAGGGTGGCTCGGATCCTTCCGAAGTGGCACTCAAGGAGGTCCTGTGCCGCAGCCAGAGTGAGCTACGGCAGGCCCGCAGTCCCAAAAACGCAAACCAGCTTCCGGGGTCGCTAAGCACGAAAGCAGGCGTTGGTTTCGACAAGCGGAGAACCGAATCGAATCTCGAACAGTCGAAAAGTCAACAAGTCGAACCGTTGTCGAGTTTTCGGCCTTTCGTGGTTTCCTGCGTGTCTCGCACTCTTCGCTGCGTTTTTGTTTTTTCTTCGACTGTTCGTGTTTGTCTGCGCTCGGCACTCTTTCCTGAGCTTTTCGAACTACTCGGTACTTGTTTTAGACTTCTGTGGAGGCCCGTCCTGGCGAAGCCGAAATTGCCTCCGTTTTGCGGGCCTGGAAATGGGGTCGCCCGACAGTGTCGTAACGTTGAGTTGCAAGGTTTCTTTGTTTGGGGATATGAGTCGGGCTTCAAGCTCTGTGAAGCTGACATAGCTGAGAGACGTTGGCTTCAACGTTCCTCTGGTTTTGCAGAATCGGGCAGAATGAGGACATTGTCGCACGTTCCGCGTTGGGGCGAGTTTGAGTCGAGTTGCCGGGCCGGGCTTTGGTTTTCAGTTGCGAAGATGTTTAGGATATTTTTAGGTATGAAGTTGCAACATCATGGAAGTTAACATGCAATGTTGCAATACGCCCCATGGAGCACATTTTTATCGCTAACGCGAGGCCGCCTCGGCAACGGTAGTCGGGGCTAGGAGCGGGAGCTTGAGCGTCGCCCCAGGCCCGGTCTAGTGCAAGCGGCGAGGCTCGGCGCAGACGGACCGAGCTGGCAGGCTGGAAGAGGGGGCGCCGCGGCAGCAGGTTGGAAGCGCGAACGTGGACAAGCCTCGCGCGGTTGTCCGTGGCAGTGCGCTCGAGGAGCTCGCAGCGAGATCACCGCAGCAATGCAGTTTTCAGTTTCACACTGGCTGATTCCACGGGGCCGGTTTCGGGCCAGGCCTGGAGGGAGCAAGCGACCAGCTTGGGACCGCGTATTTCTCGCATTTGGACCTCGGTCGCGGAGAATCCCGCAGCGTTTCCGCGGCTGACGTTTCGCCGAGTTCGGGTTGTGTTGGCCAAGGGAAGTACAACTCTTCGCGCAATACCCTGTGCATTACTACTGCAGCCTCGTTCGCAGCTGTTCATGAGCTCTGTAACGATGTTGGAAGTGCAGCCCGCGGGGCCTGTTTGTATTCGTGGTCGTTTGAGCGAGCTCGGAGAGCTGCAAGCTTCGCGAGGCGGATCTCCTCTGCGTTCTTGCAGTTTTGTGGACAAGGATGGGCGCTCCATGAACTTGGTTGCTATTGGGGAAAATGCCGACGCTCTCTTCGAAGGCGACGTGTACATTTGGCAGGGAACTTTGGTGGTGGAGCAGGATCAGGGGCGCAAAATCTTCTTGTACGACGAGAGCTACCTCATCGCCGCTCAGACTCACGAGGCCGAGATTGCTAGTCCTGCGGTGCGCGTGGCAGAACCTTCAGGAAGCGGGCCGGCGGTGATGGAGTTGACCGGCTTTCTTCAGGTTCGGTTTGCGTGAAATCGCAGTGGAAAGCTCAAACTAGCAATTTCAGATTCCCAACTTCACCTTTTGTTTTGGTCAAACATTCAGCTCAAAGCATATGTTGGGAAGTTGTCGTCGGAAATGATTTCGCTTGATTTGAAGGCATCTCCTGCGGTTACCGCGGCAGCTGCAGAACTCGGGCCGGCGCCCATGCAGTTGGCAGGATTCTCGAGCACGTTGGGTCAGGCACGGCGTCGGAAAAGTCGTGGCATGAAGTTTGGAGGCTCAATTCTGTTGCAACTTAAACTCGAAATCTGCAACTTGGGGCGCTGGACTCGGAACCACTGCCCTGGCAATTCTGGCTTTGCAGGCTCTGCGCGCGGCTGCGCCAAAAGCTTCAGGAATCGGACCGGCGCGAGAAGCTGTGGGTAATCATGCGGGCGCTTGCGTGGAGGTGCGGGCTTGCACACTCAGCAAATTTACCCGTTTACTTGTCGCGCCTCAAGTTGCGGAGGCAGCCAAAACTGCAGGAGTCGGGCCGGGACTGTCGGAGTTGGCCGGAAACGCTGGCGGCGTTGGGCCGGTTTTCGCGGAGGAGGCGCAACTCACTATTCCTGACCAGGATTCCGTTGCCGCCACGGAAGAAGACGATGTGCAGTTGATCGCCTGAGCATCAAACTCGAAGACACGTTGAGAAGTAAAGAAAGCGCCAGTGCTCTGTGCACAGAGTGTGGAGTAGCCGCTTCGCCGAAGCGATTGCACATGCAGCTGCAATGTAGCTGCTACACGGGGGAGTTTCGCTTTTCGGCCGGCCGATCCCGTTTTTTTGAAAGTTGCCGCGGCCGACTCGTCGGCCGCGTGTCCAAACTGATTTCGGAAGAGGTTTGGAGACGTGCCTGACAGAGGCTGAGCAGAGGCTTCGATCAGCACGGGCTTCAAGTTTCGCGTTGGCACGAAAAGAGCAAGCCCAGCTGCGTGCAACATCCATCGCTTTTCTTGTCTGTTGTCCCGGAGTTTTTCGAATTGGTTTGCGTTCAGGTTGTTGGCATCCTTTGTGATCGCGATCGCCGGCGACGAGGCCAGGTGCGCCCGCAAGTTTTTCGCACGTTGTGCATGGAGAAGCGTCACATATAGGCACGGCAACTGCGCGCACTGCGTTGGAAAACTGGTATGTTTGACTCGCAGCATTGTGCTCGAAACTTCCAGCGATTGTGTTATTGCATATTTCTTCTGAGTCATGGTTTTGTACCCGAGGGTGGAGAGCACATTCGGTCAGCAAGTTGACATCGTTTTGTCGCTGCTGCTTTTGCGGTCTCTGCTGGACCTGGGTGCGCGTTGGCCGCGTTCAGTCAGCGGCAAGTCCTGCGATTTGGTTTTCGCGGGTTGCGAAGTGGCTTCGCGGGGATGGAAAGCAGGCATGGTTGTACGCCGGATGGGCCTGCGTTTGTCCTCCTGGCCAACCTGCGCTTTGGTTACGGCCGCAGGAGACGTCATGGCAGCTTCTCCGGAGGAAGCGTTTCGCAATCTTGTTTTGATCAGTGTTTTCCAATCGGTTGTGATTGCTCGTTTGCTTCTGTCATCTGGACTGGCTTACGCTTCTTTGGATCCTCGCGAGAAGATGCGATTGTTGGCGAACGCGTTTCGGGGAAGCCCTGTTGACTTGGTGGGGGAGACCACCACAGGGCTGGAAGGGTGCTCCGTGCACGCATGCTGCAGCAGAGCAGGCAGCAGGCGAAAAGAACACTGGTGCACTACATTCCCGTTGGATTGCGAAAGCCGAGGTTGAAGCGTAATCGCAAATGGGTGCCGAAGCGCGAGATCATGGCACACATCAGGAACTTTCACGGTTTCGGCGTTTATGCAACCAGCGCTTTTTGGCAACTGTATCGTCGGCAGCTCCCCACGTATCCCAAAGAATCGGACGCCAGTTATTGTTTGACCGGACCGGGCGCTCGTTCCGGGGCAAATTGGCTGTTGCATCCGCACCTGATGAACAAGAACTCGCTCAGCGAGCATGTCGGGTTATTTTGTGTGGAGCAACTCAAGCTCATTCAGCACTACGTACTCCGGAGCCCAGTTCTGACAACGCGCAGATGTGATAGCGCAGCAGTTCGAGATGTGAAGCATCGATTGCGGGCTCATTTGTGCACATTGGAAGGATGTGCGTTCATGTGTTGCGAGTATTCTAAATTCGTCTTTTGGTTAC